GGCTACGTAGCTGATTCACGCTTGAATTCGTTTTATTTAGGAAGATACCGACGTCAGCCTCTGTGACGACCTCATTTCCAAGAAACCAGGGCCGAGTCATCTTTGAAAAAAATTTTACTTTCATTAAAGACAATCACAATAGACTTAGATGCATTGAACTTGAATCGCCACTAACAGTTGTAAGTGTACCAGATAACCATGAGATTGTCAAGATCACGTTTACAATGAGATAACAATTTTTATGGTCAACTTGAGTTGGACAAAGTTACATTGACGTCATGAATAAAAATAAAATACTCTGCACAGCACAACTCATTTCACCAATCATTAATAAGAACTGCATATAGTCAATATAATATACTAAAAGGATACAGAAACGCAGGGTTAACTTTAAACCAGAAATTTAGTATGATATCGGGCTTCATTTAAAACGAAATTTTGTATACTTACAGATAAATTAAAGCTTAAAAATTTCCAAAGTCTGCATTTTGCATCTGACAATTGGTTTAGAGGTACTTACGATTAAATTGAATGGACCCATAGGATTTTGAAATTGAAATTGAACTGAATCATCAATATCTTGTGTGTCCGCCGTTTGCTGTGGTCACGGCCTTTATTCTTCTGGTCATAGAGTTCATGAGAGCGTTAATCCGTCTTATGGGGATGTTGTCCCACTCTTCAATCAGAGCTCTAGTCAACTGCTCTCGAGTAGCAGGGGGTGGCTGGCGCTTTCGAACCTGTCTATCCAACTGGTCCCAAAGATGCTCGATCGGGGACAAATCAGGGCTATATGGCGGCCAATCTAGTGGTTGAATGTTGTTGTTGGCCAGAAAGACTTGGCAAATCCTTGCTACTTGGGGCCTAGCATTATCCTGCTGGAGGGTTAGATTATGCTGCTGTAAGAAAGGGATAACATGGGGTCGGAGGATCTCATCTCTATACTTAGCTGCTGTAAAATTGCCATCAATAACAACCAATTGTGATTTTAACCCGTGTGAGATTCCTCCCCACACCATTACTGAACCGCCCCCAAACCTATCCCTCTCTACAACGCAAGCGTCCGTAAAACGTTCGCCACGACGTCGGTAGACACGTTGACGGCCGTCAAATCGATAAAGACAGAATCGAGACTCGTCCGTGAAGAAAACTTGTCTCCACTGCCTCAGTGGAAACCGTCGTGGAGCATGTGCAGCGACCCAGGCCATACGACGCTGACGTCGAGCAGGGGTAAGGTGTGGACCTACGTAGGGGCGCCGTGCTCTTACAGCAACTTCTCGTAATCGATTCCTTACAGTTTTTGAACTTATAGGACGCCCATGTTTGACGAACATTAAGTGCACTCTCAACGGCAGTAAGGCGCCGATTACGCACATGAGAGATGACGATATAGCGATCCTGACGTCGCGACGTTACGCGCGGACGTCCTGACCTAGGTCGATCAGCCAATCGCCCAGTTTCCCGAAGACGTCTTACAAGACGTTCTATGATGGAAACATTTACACAAAAGTGCTTAGCAACCTGATTTTGCAGCTGTCCTTGCATCAGCATCTGAATGACCTGACCCCACTGAACTTCTCAATTCTCATCAAATTCTCAATTAATTTTAGGGAAGCAGTTGGTCTGTATAAAGACTAACGAAGAGTGACTTGACCAACGCTGCATGAGACCAGAACAACACGGTGCACGAGATTCTTGTTTTTTCCTTCCTCCATTTACCAGAGCTGCGCACTGTACCATGACTAAATTTTCGATACATGACAAGGTGTAATATGACCTAATTGCTCAATCCAAAAAGTTTCACTTTATTTGGAGAACGCGTTTTCAAAATATCGGAATAAATATTACCCTGCGTTTCTTTATCCTTTCAGTATATATAAGATCATACTTCCCTGGCGGGGACCTTGGCAGACATCTAACAAATCGGAGACGAAACCTTTATACAGGACAACTCCTCTAAATAGAGAAGCAATGCTTTGAATATACTTTGATTTAAAAACGATGCTGGAGAGTTTATAGAATAGGCCGCAGTCAAATGCATTGGCAGCATCAAGGAAGGAAGCAAACGATTTATCGTCACAAGCACAGATTCCTGAACTAAGTACTTTGTACTAATGACGCTCTTTTGAAAACCGTCATGTAACGGGTTAATCTTAAACAGATTTGTTGACTCTAGTCCCTATAGTTGTAATTTTTCGAAAACTTTGAAAATATCAGGTCGCTAGGACAAGGCCTTCTGTACGCAGTGATGGAAGATATTCTAACCTGTGTAATGTTTTGAACAATACACACAGTATGTTGTATAAAATGTCATCCACATTTATCAAGTGGTCATAAACAATATGCTAATCGAGGAGTGTTTTGCAGATGCACTTGATCCCATCTAATGACAAGCAGTCTTTTTCTGTGTTTTGTTTAGACAGAATATTTGCAACAGATTCGTCAAAGTTTGTTTTAAATCTAGCATCAAAGTTTACACTGGATGATGCGGTGTAAATATCTGCAAAATACTCTCCTTAAAGGTGGGCACTGCGAGCAGGATCTCTGACAACTTCACCATTAAATTTCATTTTATCCAGAATTATTACTACAACGTTTTCTAATCAGCGACCAGAAAGTTTATTGATTAACATCAAAGCAATTTACAATTTCCCTTTTCAAGTCTACAATATGATCCTCTGACACCTGTCTGTGTCTGCACCTAAATAAACGTTTCGCATCTTTGTAATAACGAAAAGTGACGGAGTCGTGCGGACGACCCCGAGATACCCAGATCTGAAGACTGACGACACCTCAACATGTTGCGATGGAGATCTTTGAGTTTATTGTTCCAATATGGCTTTAGAAATTTGCAAAATTTATGTTTTGACAAATTACATTCTGATAATTTAATAAATGCTTATGTAACTCTGGTAAAATATTAGCCGCATTATACCACTCGGCCAAAGATAACTTCTCTTTAGCTCGATTGGTTGAGCGTCAGACTAGTAAGCCAGGGGTCCCGGGTTCGATTCCTAGCGGAGGCATTGAAATAAATAATGACTTCTGTTACATTTACAAAAAAGCAAGAAGCCTTCATAAGTAAGTTGAATGCGTAATACCTGTAGTAGTTTAAAATATTTTATATGAAAGGAGGCAACTAAAATGTGTCCAGAATGAGAAAAAATAACAACAATCAGACTAATACTTGTATTCTTTATTTGGAAATGTTTACAGTAATTCGTACTTCGATATGATATATAATAGTCCTTAATCAAACGTAATCAAATATGATCTATTCACAGGAGAGTGAATATTAATAAGTGATTAAAATGATAATAATGGCAGGCATATATTACACACTTACTAAACATTAAGTAGCGGTTCCACATAATGAAATAAAAATAAATATTATGATATACAAGGAAATGGTCTGTTTTGGTTTTTATTCTTGGTTTAGTGTTTATTACATCTATGTGAAAAGTATTGTAGTTTCATTTTAATCCCTATATATAAGTGCTAAAACAACATATAATGCTATGGATCACCTACAAGTCATTGACATTTCCTGTTCGACTTCAGAAATAGTTTATTCTGAAAAATAAATTAAGCAACTCTGATGAAAAAATCTGATGGCATATCCGCAGTCTGAGCTAAATTATGATGTCAATGATATGTTTTCAACGATTGATACATTATAATTGTACTACTATGGTAATAAAAGAGTTTAAAAAGAAAATATATCTAATGACGATTCACAATGTTTGGGATTTATCTTTTATACAATTTTGACGTAAATAGTTTGATTTTAGCCCACTACATGCAAAAATAAATCATTCTTCTTTAATCGATGACAAGCGAGTTGAAATAATCAATCAAATAATTAATCAATTAATTACAAACGGCCGAAAAGCTAAAGCGAGTTTAATCTGTAAAATAACCTTATTATAGATACTGGATAGCATTTCGCATTCTAAACATATCTTTTAGGTAAACTATATCTTGTTTCAATTCCAAACCATATAATACAAATATTTGTTATTTTCAGGTAATTGAAATATGGACAGGAGCAATATCTTTTGTTTCCTTAGCTTCCTAACATGTTACACCTTTGCCAAGATTTGTGCGTCCTAGAAGGACGAATCATCGCAATGAAAGTATCTATTCACTTGTCTTTATTCGACTATTTCTTATATTATTTCCCATTAATGGATAAAACATGCAGTTATTTATTCAGACAATGTGGTTCAGTGTTTTATGTGTGTATATAAATTCACAATAAAGACTGTTCTGAGGTAATAATTGTTGAAATAATTGCTTTCTGAAACGTGTTAGGTTTACTTGAAGATTCATCAGAAAGCATTTTGCAGTTAAATTTAATTGATGGAAATTACATTACACTTCATTCTTACATAACAAACACCAATTTGACAATAAAACTTGAGTGGTTATTAGTCTAGAATTGTCGTAATGGGACAGTGGCAGGCAGTTGTAAACAAAAAATGCATTCAGTTTGATTTTCAAACCTATATGGAAAGTTAAAACTTAGTACCGCAGTCTTATGTAATAGACATATGATGAAACGAAGCTCATTTACGATTTAACGTTATCTCAAAGATCTCTGATTTGTTTGAAGTGTTCTATTGTATATCTATCCAAACCTGAAACAATCATATCAAAGCTTCGATGGAGAACTCTCTGCCTAATATTTCACATTATCTTAAAGCCATCAGCAAAATGGAGAATAATTTATCCTTTATGTGCTAGTAATTTAAGACATTTTTTTCCGTGCGTTTGAGTGAAATCAACACAGATATATTATCAAATCCATTGATTATATTAAACATGGCTGATGCACTAGGTAAAAGTTTTTTTTTCGGTGCCACGTTTTTGCATTATGTCACCACACACTTTCTTACATTTGACAGACTCACATACTCTCTGCTGGTAATGTACAATATAATGTTAATTTTCTAGTTCTAACTATTGTGTTTTAATATTTTCTAAATGCTGTTTAAACGCCGTTAATAACCTTTAAGGAATGCTGGAAATGACGTTATTTCTGACCCCGTTCTAATGTTCATCTCGACACTAACAAGGTCAGGGTTGTACGTGCCAAACACAGGGATGAGGGGTTCCGAAAAATCGATTCCAGTAAATGTATGAAGTTTCTTTTCTCGCTTTATATCGGACACCGTCCACTTCCTCCTCTTTGTGTCCACCACCAGACCATACGTCACGTCGACTGACAGGCCTGTTGTGTTGTCGGACAAGGGCACGTAGGACAAAAGATCACGGTTGTGCCAGAATTCTTGTGCTAGTTTGCCGTCTTCCGGATATCGGGCAACATAACATGATCGGGAATGTTCATGGCGTTCCACTGTGTGATGCTTGTCGATGTCGTCTGCTCTGCCTATCCCTAATTCGAACACCAGCCATGTTTCTTCCAATGGTTGATGTATTGTGAACGACACATCCACTTCGTAGTAATATTTACCAGGTTCTTTGAATCCAAACGTACCGACAATGCCCTTGTACTTCTGGAGTTGTTTACTGCTGTTTGGAACACCAGAAGGACTACCTGACTTCCGGTTTCGGAGCTGTTTTCCATCGATAGATACCTCCCTTTCCATGTGAATGGTTTCCACATCAAACACGAAATTTGGACCTTAAACAGAAATTGCCAGTAAATTTACCAAAACTTCATCAGTTTAACTAAATGTATTAGCTTTCTTTCACGTTCAGTTATTGTGCTACTTATAAAAATAGCGTGCATTATTTAACAACGGGTTTCCTTTGCAATAGTTAAAAAAAATAGTTGTAATGCGTCGCCGCTGTGATGACCCTGGGTTATAACTTGAACACAGTTTTTTCGACAAACGACATTGACAAGAAACAGAAACATGCAATACATTCTGATTGCTTACTTCAAAGTATCGGCTATGAGGCATCCGATATTCATTATTCAGAACTGGTGATTTTCTGTATGGGTCTGGCTACATAAACTCTCATAGAATGTTATTCGGAGAGAAAATGACAGTCCCTCGGAAGGGTTCGTCCAATTCTTCTCCATGAATAATGTTTAATGCAATATCTCTGTGTATGCACTTACAAATGACATCCCCGAAGGTAACTGCCGATGATGGAGATGTTTGAATGGACTTCAACAATTCTTTCCCTTCAACATCTGAAACGCCAATTTTCATATGTATTTAATCTGGTCATCCTATATTTTCATAATCAGTGCATTTTATTTACAATATTGAAATGATACTGATGTTAACGAATATCAAATTATTGCTATGTAGATTCCATCGTAAACTTACTGCTATTTTTCTACGTATATTTTGCCTACCTGAGCAATAGCATCAACTATGAATAAAATATACAAATAGCACACATATAAACCTGGGAAGGTAGATAAGCCAAGAGTAAGATGAACAAACAAAGAAAACACCGCCATGTCAACAGAATCTTACTTAAAACACAAATTCAATAACTAGGTCAGAATATTAACATATAAAATATTAAGTTTCACATGGGGACTCCAGAAAACAGGAAGACACGTAAGATGAAGCGTCTCCGGCTTCATCAACGACACCTGCTATATACATTAGTATCCATTGATGGATTCTTTAATAAAACAATAAAACAACTTTGTAAGTTAGCTTGTTATAGCTAAGGTTTGACGTCATTAGACATTGGGGGTTTTCGTTTCTGAGTCTAAAGACAAAGTATACACCAGATTATATTGTCACTATAATTTTCATGCGTTAACGTATCAATGTTTTAGGTCTTTGAATCAAAGTCAACAATAGACCCCGACATTATTCAAAATGATAGGTAAAAACATATCTACTCTTCCATTCATATTTTCCCCGATCACTAAACGTGTATGTCGATTTCATAACTCTTATCTCAAATATATACTAAATTATATTTTTGTTATTGATATCTGATAAAAAAAATCCGTATGTCATATCCGAGAAAATATTCTAAACGCTGCGAGAACACATATTGACCCTGGGGAGGTATATACAGTTAATTTGAGAACACGTTAATACCATTTCAATTTACACATTTTTTTCAGGCTGGTAATGTCAACGGAATAGGAGTTCTAATAACACAACCAGTAGAAGATAAGAGTGTGATGTTTTGATGACTACACGGTCACCTTAAAGGTCTTATAACATAACCCTATCTTCATCAGACAATTGATCAGTGTGGGGCGTACTAGCACTGACGTACGTAGTGTACGAGATGGTACGGAAGCTATAGGATTATAGTGCAGCCGTTGCTTTTGGTCTATAATCTGTTTACCATCTCGTCACAATATTTTCGACATCAGTGTACAAACATGTAGAATTATAGTAGAGCCGAAAAAGTTGGTCGATTTCGTACCTTCTCGTAAACTACGTACGTCAGTGCTAGTACGATCCACACTGGTCATTTGTCTGATAAAGGTGACCGTGTAGTCCTCGGAACGTCACACTCTATTATTCTGGTTGTGATATAAGAACTTCTATTCTACTAACGTTAATACCACTTATATACTAACAACCTTCATCCAACATCATATATATATGTAACGACAAAACAGTCAGCATCATTATCTTGTATCTTAAACATGTACACTTCATGCAACTCTTCAAGGTGTTAAAGTCTTGAATTCCACAGAAATTGAAACAAATGCAAATACATCATATCCAAAACGTGTAAGTAAGGAAAGACAGAGTGGCACGAAGAAAAAACGAACAAACAAGCGTATTGTTTTTTCCCTTAGGGAAAAGGATATACGCTGTAATTTAAAATGTTACTCTTCCCTAAATAAGATTCCAATATTAAAAAATTAAGTCATAATATTATATACGTTTACCAAAAATAAGCAACAGTCATTTAATATCATGGTTAATTTTACAAGTTTTTAAAGCATTAAACTGCGACCCGTTAGTGATGGTGTTAGTTGCTTTGAATACCTTTTGACTACGTCTTAAGATCATTAGTCATTAGTGTCTAATATATATGTATCTAGAAACCGTATGTCTGTTCAGCAATAAAAGATAGAAAATATGTGTCATAGATATATGTATCGAATTGTAAAAAACAAACCACATTTATTTCCAAGAAAAGCGTGTTTTCGGTATTTTAGACATATCATCACAACAATCAATGTTACAATGTGAAAATCTCAGCTTATCAAAGCCAAATGTACCAATGGTAGTTTAGAATTCACAATTCGATCAATTCTTAAAGAAATCCAAAAAAGAAATAGTGTTGAATAAAAAAAGTCAGATGTAAAGCGAATATGTTAGATGCAGAGAAACTAGTGACGCGAGCCTACTTCTCCTGTTGTCATGGTGATGAAATCCTAATAGAACTCCCTTGTCTCCGTATGGATAAGCACCTGGATGTACAATGACGTATCGAGAGTAACGATTACATACTTTCTAGACTGTCAATTTTTTTCAGATATTTAAAACGTCGATGCTGAATTGACACACCTTATTAATGTGAACATTTGCATCAAGATAGACATTCATGCACGTACATCTCCTCACATTTAAAAAAATTGACAGCGATAACAAATACCTTGTTCTATTTCATTTGAATTTTTTATAACATATGACATAATTATAACTCCTGATAATACAGTTTGTACCTGTTGTTGATTGTAAGAAGTTAATGATGAAATCGACATGAGTTATCTCGACAAAATGCTTATTTCACTACCTCATGCATTTTAGATTCGTGAAAAAGAAGCAAAACGAATACTAAGTCATGCAGTATCTCATGCGGAACATAACAGTCGATTGAAGCTTGAGTAATAAAGCATGCATTCTGTGCCAGCTTTCATTTCAAGATCATAAAAAAGTAGTAAGCGGTTCTAAAAATAACAAATATAGCTTGAATCACCATTTTAGCAGTTAATTTACTTCAATGTAGATCAATTTAAATCAAGCTTCCAACGACTGACACTCAGTTTCCCTGTGTCACATGATCTATTATATTCATGTGAATAATAATATAAAAACAATACTGTCTGACGTCATGCAAACTTGTCTACGTCCTAGGTAACTTACATGCGTTATTCCACAAGACATAACGAACTACAATGTTAAAACAATTAATATATTCCTAAAACACCCGATGTGTTAAAAAGTCGTGAGAGTCGGGAAGGTGGTAGGAGCTTTAAAATAAGTTTCACGTGCGCTGAACCATATTGCAAAACAAATATTTCTGGACGGTAGTTGGTGACGTCCATTAGACATATTAAAGAGGAATTTCATAATGGAAGATAGTGTCATTGTAATATTATAATTATGAATTTCAACGCATTAGTCTTTTTTTTTTTTTGCAATTATCATTATAAGATGTCTTAGCACATTCAGTACAAAGTATATTCAGCGCAAAAATGAAATAATCACTAAAACATGTACTTTTACAGTAAACTTTACAAAAAAAAAAAAAAAAAAAAAAAAAAAAAAAAAAACAAAAACAAAAAAAAAAAAAAAAAAAAAAAAAAAAAAAAAAAGAAAAGAAAACAAATTACTACTGATTTATTCGAGTAAAATTAAAACTTAATCCTGTATCTAAGTACTTATTTATCTTTCTCTAAAAACATAAATTTTCATCATTAAGGTTATTAAAATTCAAGATAGAATTTATAGCATTTATATACACATAAATGTACCTGAAGGATGAGAAGTTCGAGGTGACCTTGGTGATTGAATTGATCCTTTGGTAGTGTTGCTGAACTTGGTAGCGGGTGACGTGGGGTTGGTAGGAGCTATCGGTTTGAATGACCTCTCTGGGGTTCCTGGGTCAGAAAGTGGTGGTCGGGCTGTCTTCTCTATGTAAGAAAAACATAAAGACTGTTGATTGAGTTTTCTGAATCCTGATAATTGCTTATTAAAGACTCTTTGATAATCCAAAGAATCTAATTACCATTGTCGTTTTTTCATGAAAATCTTTTCTTATAAACGAAGCATGATATCATACAAGACGAAAAATGTCTTCTTAGAAATATCAAAATGGATGCTGACAAATGGTAGAGTTGTAATTTTTATATGAAATACTGGATATATAGATATATGATGTATATGCATGCATTATAATGTAATGTATATACAAAGCTGTCCACACTAACAAACACCGACATATTAACACCTTTGCAGTTATGTCGGTAATTTCTTCTTGTTTAATCTACATAATTACGAAGCACTCAGGTATGTGGCGAGACATCATTCTTTATCAACTAAGGGTCGCAGCTTGTTAATAATTTTCTAGCAACATGCCTATTTACTGTTGTACAATTTATATATTAGATTTCGTAATGATGCTAGATATATTCCTACGGCATTTATGCAATAGTTAAATGAAGTTGTTTGTTAAATGCGGAAGTTTCGTATTTTTATAGGTCAGCTTAAATTGTTCTTTATGTTAATTAGTCAATCCTTAGTTAATCCTTATGATTTAATCACAGATTGAAACATTTTTTTTTATTCTGATAGTTTCTTACATCACGTGTTGCCCAAGCAAACGCAACGTCGAGTTTTTGATGCTACGGAGTGATAAGTGAAAAAATGGCCCATGAAAATGTTTCGCCCATTCGTGCGTTGATTTTCAGTTATTATATGAAAGTTCTGCACAAAATTTTAATGTCATCTGAAATAGTTTCTAAATTGTTCAAACTGTTAGAAATCCCTCCACCACGTAAAAATACATTTAATGTTGATGCTTATGCTTTTATCTAGGTTAAATACATTGATTTTCACTTCTTCAGTCGGATTCTTTCCATTTCCGTTGCTGGATTCTAATTTTGTCGCTCTACCAAAAGCAATGTTACAAAAACGACGTCATTTACCTCTATGAAATGAACCGTGGTTAAATGACCATAGTTTTTAATAAGACGTTACAAAATATAAAACTAGCCCCAAGGGTATGATAATTCTTCAGCTCTTGAAGAAATGCTTCTTTTAAGCAGAAATTATTAAACTGTTAGACATGAAGCATGAAATATCATAAAAACATACACACACATCTAACTAGGACAATTTAACACCAGAATAAATCATAGCGAACTAAACATACTGGGTTATCGTCTTGGCGTGCTTACTTACCTATTTCCAAATGACATCAGAGGAAATTAAGTTTTTCATGTATTATCAGGCAGACAAAGAGAAGAAAATCCTTTACCGTATTATTTCCAATAAAACCCCAAATCCCATCAAAATTTCAATTCCACTCCATATAAACACCCTCTTGTTCAAGCCAGAAGCTAAAACTTACCTTCTTCTTCATAATCTGAATTTTATAAAATAAATACTAAGTAATTTTACAAATCCAAAATTTCATAATGGTCATGACGTCTATTCATAACTATTCTCCTGATTAATTGAGTATTTCAAATTTCAACAGTGCTTTTACTAAAAATAATACGGTATATTAGTTAACAGTGCAACTGCTTTGTTCAAAGGATGACAAAATAATGGAATGAAAATATCAAATTGAAAAGACTTTTTTTGACAATTTTTATCATTTCTTATATAAAATTTATATATATATGTATAATAAAACAATGTGTACTTTCCAGATATTTACGTATGTTTTAAAGGAATAGTGTATTCTAAATCAAAAATGATGTTCAACATTAAATCCTTTGAACAACGCAAATGCCGTGTTTTCCAAAAAATTATAAGCGCTAAATCATAAGTATGAAACAGGGCTATTCTTATACATACCAACACCCATCCTAACAGGTAATTCGCCCTTGCACTCAAGCTCTTCTGTGAAGTTATAGACGACAGAAAAGAATGATTTTGAAGCGATAAGTATGAATATAGGCGTGTCGCATATAGCGTTATACACAAATGTCTGTAGAAAATAAACACTGAACACATGCAAAAATACCTTGATTGATGTAAACATTGATATTTATATATATAATGAATGAATTACGGAAGACTTACATTTTAATGGATATTGATTTGAATAAACTCTTAATATGTAATATATTATATGCATTTAATATGTATACAAGAAAGTGTTTGTGATTGATGTTAGTATACAAATTACTGGCCACTTCATGGTCAACGTTTTAAAAAAAACTTTTATTTCAATCAATTTAGATTTCCTCAGGTTTTTGTCATAAATTTCAACCAATTTTGCTTCCCTCAGTCTCCTCCTAGGTTTCAACAATTTAGACCATTAACATCACTGACGACACAATTTTATAGTACCGTTTAAATCTTGAATTACTTCTCTAATTCCGAATTTCTATAGAAGGTTGATATTATCTCCTCATATATACATTGTTATTTACGAAAAGTAGCTTAACTGGTCTAACTTTAAAAAGAGGAAGGTTTGGAATAGAGCGAAATATCAATCAGTGTTACAATGTAAGCACAAAATGTCTGAGTGCTCTGAAGTCTTACAACGTGGAAGACAAAGAGTCTGTGCCCTGTACAATTTATACATACTCAGAAAGTCTCCAAGACCGATGGGAGTAGACCTGGTGTCCGTCTTTGATAGGTTTGCTGGTGCCGGTCTCAGTTTCCGCTGCAAATCACCATTGGGTTTGGCCTGACCTGATCATTATCATAAAGAATTAAGATATTATATTCCATTAAGCCATTATATTCCATTAAGGTATTATATTCCATTAAGCCATTATATTCCATTAAGGTATTATATTCCATTAAGGTATTATATTCCATTAAGTCATTATATTCCATTAAGCCATTATATTCCATTAAGCCATTATATTCCATTAAGCCATTATATTCCATTAAGGTATTATATTCCATTAAGCCATTATATTCCATTAAGGTATTATATTCCATTAAGCCATTATATTCCATTAAGGTATTATATTCCATTAAGCCATTATATTCCATTAAGGTATTATATTCCATTAAGGTATTATATTCCATTAAGCCATTATATTCCATTTAGGTATTATATTCCATTGAGGTATTATATTCCATTAAGCCATTATATTCCATTAAGGTATTATACTGGTCTACTCTCGATAGGTATCTTACTATCTTACCTGCATCATTGGAATAAGCAACAGTTAGTCAAAGTTAGTCTTTTTTATTATTTACCAGACGTAAACAATGAGCAATCACTACGCTGAAACCTGGCCTTAAGCAAGCGAATCCAAACTTATCACTTCGTGCCGTTATAATATTACAGGATTATTCTTATTGTGTGTAAAGTATAAGAGTGGAAATGCATGACTATGAAAAAGAATATTTAACTTGACATGAAATAATGTTCAGAGCAAAAACCTCTGGTTTTAAACTGACGGTTTAGTGAACAACGAATTTCTTTCCTGAGTTTATATCAACACAAATAAATTTGATTTCATTTCATTATCGATTTTTTTTTATAAAAAGACAAGCAAATTACAATCAAATTTACCTGTCTGCGTACCAATCCTCCCATTTGGTGACTTGTCTCTTGAATTAACCTCGCCTGAAATCCCGTTGACGGTTGGCGACTGAGGTAGCTGCTGTTGTCGAGACTGACGAGTAGCTATGATGTCATCTCGAACACTCTGTCGAGCATCTTTCAGACCGTGATCCAGTGGTAGGCTGTTTTGTCTTTGGAAGATAGGCTTTTCAACTGGACTTGAAAGACTTATTTGCTTCTGATACATTGGCTTGTCCGAGACAGGGTTTGGAGCACTTATTTGTCTGGGAAAGAGCGGTTTTTCTGCAGGGTTAGACTGGCTAATTTGGCGCTGAAATGCTGAGCGATCTGAAGGTGCATACGTATTGAATGGTCGAGACAGCTTCTCTGGTTCCTCCTGCTTTGTGATTTCTTTTTCTGGAGGACTTGGTGGGAGGTTGTTTGTAGTTGGTACTTTTTCACGAGAAGTTACAACGCCTATGCTTTTTACAAGCTGTACAAATGATTCTTCGTTAAGGTTCTGGTAGAAACGCAGCGTCACATCCTCCTTGGTAGGGGCAGTGAAAGAAAGATTTTTGAGTTCTAGTAGCCGTCTCAAAATTGTATTTTTCAAATGTAGAAATTCTGTAGCATTTGTATAGGAGATGGCACGAGATACGAACTCATTGGCAGTTTGAACATTTCCGGAATATGACTTCAAGTGTTTAAGCTTCTGTTGAAGGTCCTTTTTCTTTGATAAGCACTGATTCTCAAGTTCTCTATGGAGCTGACTTCTCCTATCGTTAACAATCTGGGCGAGGTTGTTGAATGTTGTATCAATATCTTCATCGATTTCGTTTTCCTTTTCTTCAAGGTCATCCAAAAGACGTTGAAGGATGTCGATAGATTCTGTTACAGGGCTTTCCTTTGTGTTCAGTTCACGAACGACGCTTTCAACTACTGTTTTACTATCTTCATAAACGTCGCTGAGATTTCTAATAAGATGTCCGTTTGTTTGGTTATGGTCGCAAACGGCACACAACGTGCAAACAGGTCTGTCACATCCTCTTCGATCACAGTAGAAGGTGTACACTTGGTCCCCGTGGCCAGGTTTGTCACAGGTATCACGCCTATGGAATTCGTCAAGTCCATAATCCTGTAAGTCTTCTACTGAAGTAATGATGTGCTTCCTCGTCAACTGGGTCCGTTTATGAGCATTGGAGCAAACACCACACATAAAAACAAAACACTCTTTACAGAACGTTTCCGCAAAGTCCTCATCTGGACAATCCGTACATGGTATCTCAGTAGGTTTTCGTTTGACACGGAGGAAATCGATGAAATTTCTGGAAGCACTATCGACAGGGAAGTCCGTGACAGATTCGTTGGTAGATTCGTGTCGAGTCTTGCATTTCGGACACTCTACTTCGCGCTTGACTGTAAGATCGTCTAGACATGAAGAGCAACACGAGTGCAGACACAATAGAACTCTAGGAATACGCTTATCATTATCATACTCCTTTGAGCAGACGTTACATACCACTAAATCGTCATTAATTTCCTCCATCATTCAGAACATCAACTGCAAATGAAAGGAAATCCTGTATATATGAAGTTGTGTTTGTGGATATGACAAAATATTGCAGGAAATCAATACAAACGAATAGAATCAAAGGAATACAAAATAAGCAGTCACGTGCAGAGAAAACAAAATTGTGAACCAATAAAATTCGGAACTGAAAACAAATGCCTGAAGAAAATTGCTTGTACATTGTGTCAAATATAGCAACTCAGTTTGATGAATTAGAAAAAGGAAACAGATGTATACATGTAACAAGTTGAAGAAAAACAAAGTGAGTTGAGATTAGAGTCTCCCAAGATCATTCATCCATTCAAAAGTGAAATGATGCTTATATTTATGAATATTAAATATATTTAATTTTCAATCGGAAAAAAAAGAAGAAAAAAGATCATTCATCCTGTTCAATCGTCATATAAAAGTACCCTATATCAGCTAATAGACACAACTACAAATAACAATGTATATTAAAACATAAAAGACATTACGTTGGATATTCATATTTACGTTTAATCATTTCCTACTTCCGGTCAAACATGACTTACATTCATTCTTAAGAGTGTAATTACATGTATTTATACAGTGAATGACCGATTTTTCGTGCACGAGAGCAGTGTTGGTAAAGAACGTATATCCAATACTAGTAAAACGTTTAAATGTCCCAAAGTCATTACATATTCAAATGACCTTCACATCGACGAAAAGCTGTCAATGTTTGATTTACCATGTGACTGACGTGAAACACGATATGATGACACAGGGAAAATAGTTCATACAATATACACATTTCAGAAACGATAATGTAAATACATACAATAAACACAAACAGTAATTGAAATAAGGAATTGATGTCATTTGATACAGTATTGATTATCACGTTACACTGATAAGGAGCCCTCCGTAAGAAGAATTCCCTTTAGACCAAATGAAAAGTTATCGACTGTGTTTTAGACGAGTAAGTCAATATATTCCTTCTAGAATATCATCTGTGTGTGTTTTACTGGTCATATCATTTAATAATAGAGATAAAACAACAAGAAAACGCATTTCAACATGATCATAATCCAAACACAAATTCAATCAAATAGGGGCAAGCTATGAAGAAAGAGAGATTTAAATGAAACCATCTGAAAGAGTACAAGAAGAATAAAACCAGACGTTCCGGATGAGAAACGTCTCATGCTTCATCGACAACACCTGTCATGTCAATCTTGGTCAATCGCATTTTCAGTCATTTACTTAAACAACAAATGTGCAATTTGTATGTTAATTCATAAGTAATTTATTTCTGTGTGCTGAAATTTTTTTTCTACTAAAAATCAATCTATTTAAACAAGAAATCCTATTTCTCTCAGTGGTTTTATCGTGGCTACCGCCAGTCATATGTACTGTTTTGTCCTTTATTTCAATGGTAAGATGTTATCGACTACATGTCATTTACAATTTCAGAGTGGTATAATAAAGCATTGCACAACCATTTTTATTAGTTTGAATATACTAGTACTGTATTGTAACTTCTGTCTTCATAATGAAGCTAAATTACCCTAACTTAATAGCACAGATCCCTATATATACGCTCGGGAAAGTTTGTGTTTCTGGTTCGGACTTGTGTATTGAACTAATTGACAGACACCGCCTTTATCGACGCGATATGTAATCTTATATACACACCTGCCTGTATGTGTATCAACAAAGGCATTCCTTGATTACCTAACATACCTTATCACCGCTGTACAAACGATTCCTTATTATGCTTTCAGGTAGGTAAAATGGTAGGTCAATATCTGATGAATTAGAATCGTACATAGCTTCGATAGAGGTCAGTCAGTATCCAGGAAACCCAACAAGAATTCAATCCAAACTTTGATAGGGCTGTATTTATCGGCGGTGTGTTTAGACCCTTCAGCAATTTATAAAATGTGTTTAAGTATGCTCGAGTATTTCCATTAGGTCGAAGTAATGAGCTTTACTATGTGGAGATTTAAGTTTTTATGAATTTCCAACACTCTTTCAGCCCAAGATTCCTATTTTACATAATAATTAAGCTTTTCTTCAGACATAAATGTACCTCATATTCAATACACGTGACCAAAATCCAAACCTTATATAACAAACTGCAACTGGGTGAATTGACGAGATATGAGAACAAAGGACAAGACTCGATGAACTTGAAGTTAAACCAGTGGAAAAGCTCCGGTTTGCCTGGTGTAGTAAATATCTAACTTGTGTCTGCATAATAAACATATAGTCGTCAAGTGACGAACTCGCAACACGGGGTTTTAAAAGATGCATGTTGATGAAAATTATGGAGAAGTTTTAAGGTCGCTAAAGTGAACTCATTAGAAGAAATATTGTATTTCTTTGTACGATATGAAGCTGGACGTGTTTGATGCTCGTTAGTTTGTCTGTGGTTCCGATGAATTTGAGTCTGGATTATGATTGTGTTAACATGTTGGTATTTTCTTTGTTTTTATAGTCACGTGACAATGTCGTCCACGGATGTCCACTGACGGCCGCCTTAAGTGATATTACACGGAAACACGACACCCCATCCAGTCACATTAGCTAGCCCTTGTCTATCCCAACAACACAAGCACCTGTATCTCAACTCACGTGTATCTGGACCCAGGTACCTGTGGTAACAAGTAGATGGTAACAATTAGAGTTACAAGTGTCAAGGGAGATACACCTCTTAAGATAATGTGCATAATAATTACGTCTTAACTGCAGGACAAGTGCGTCACAAAGATCCCAAGTTAAGTCGCCTCTTACAATCATGTAATGGGTACAGCAGTTAACGATATTCTTACGTTCTACCTACAGGACAGTAAATCATAAAGATCCCAAGTTAAGGCGAGTCTATAATTCTTATGTCAACCTGCAGGACGACATGCGCAATTATATATCAACGTTTTAAGAGTTAATGAAATTCTTGTGATGAGAAACTTCGATGTCCCATTTACATCTTTTTGATCATACGACAAACCACGAAATAGTAATCTCAACCAGTTTTGTGGACTGTCAGACAAAAATATCAACATTTGCGTATGGCTGGAGACATGTGACACGTGTGACCTATATAGTCTGTTGTTTTCTTATTAGTTTATTTCCTGTCTGTATACTGGTCGGTGTTATTGGTTGTGATCATGACCTGATGTGTCAACTCGGAGGTTTTAATGTCGGTTCTGATTTAGATGTATACTTAATATCTTAGTCTGCTGGTAAACATTGGTCCATAACTTTTACCGTATGGCTGCAGTAACACTAGGTCGCGTGTTGTGGAATTACTTTGTGTCGTTTCTTCTCAGTCGCCGTCTACATAGTTTCAGTTCCACGTTTTACTTGTGAGTGTATATACATTAAAAACGATACACGATAAAATAGATATACTGTACAAGAACTGGCAAATTACAAAGTACTGATTAATTTAACGATTGGCAGACAAGGCATCAGTTTTCTGAATGGGCTCTCGACCCGAAAGGAAAAGGGAGACCAACAAGAACACCAAGACCAAGGGTTAATTGTGTGGTTCCCAAGGGGGTCGTGGTCTGAACAAGTCTTTGATTCAGGTAAAAAAGAAGCCGTATAAAGGACCACAGTGTAGATTGAAGTTTCTCTGATAGAGAACCCTGGTTAAGCAATCGTTGTTGTTAGAATGACCGTCGTAACATTACTACAGCGTAGCCATATGTCTCTCTGTTAGAGAACCCTGGTTAAGCAATCGTTGTTGATAGAATGACCGTCGTAACATTACTACAGTGTAGCCATATGTCTCTCTGTTAGAGAACCCTGGTTACGTCAATTCACGATGGAATGACAAATCTCATATTGTTGCAGCGTACATCTTAAAGTCTCTAGGTAGAGATCCCAGAGTGGGTAAGGACATACCCAGTAAGAAAATCACTCATGCCCTAGTTACTCACTAAATTGGTTTATTTTTTACATTGTTTATTCAAGATGATTTTAATCATCCATTATTTAGCCGTGTGTGAAAAAAGTTAGTACCTACACATATCGGAACGTGGTGATAACCCGTCAAAATTAGAAAATTAGAAAATTAGAATCTTCCGGGAGGAAAAAAAAAATCAACAAAAGCTCGTTTTCTATATCGTGTTTTTTTGGTCTTACTAATCAGGACATTTATTTATTTACAGTAGAAGAGTAAGATTTGTTGATAAAGTAGGATCATCTTTCGACGTGTATCTATTGAGACACGGGGCAGCATAATACCGCACGCCTCGTGTATCTTTCGTCAGATCAACTAGTTTCGTCGGCTTAATACCTTCATTTTGATTTCTTTACATTGTGTTACGTGTTTTTATATCTAGCATGGTTACTTTACATATTTCAAATCTCAGTATGTAGTGCAGTAAACGGTATTGATAAACGCTTAACATAGCTTGTGTTGAACGATGTCATAAAAACCTATCGATTGAAATTTAAAATTAAAGCATGTTTTATTCTCTCTTTTTTCATTATTATTATTATTATTATTATTTATTTTACCGTCATACAACACTGTAAACAAAAATTAGGGAGGAAACATTTAGATAGAAATATTAATCTCAAAACATTTGTATATTTATTTTTTTAAGATAACGTAGCTTGACGGACTGTTGGTTATTTCTGTCTCTTTATATACACCCTGTGTATCATATTACCTTCCATTGTACTGATACATAACTATTGATTAAAAATCTACTAAAACTATGCACAAATCGCTTCTGTGTACAATCCTTTAGTTCAGATGATTGATTTGATCGTTCCCTAACAGTATTTTTTTAATGTCAGCTACTCAAGTGTACTATATCTTCTTGTAGCGTATTTATTTGTTTAAAAAAATCCCTTTAAATATTCAGTACAGGAAAATAGCTGTGGCCGAACAGCATTTAAATCTATATATCCACAGGGTCGTGACTAGTTAATAAAACCAACGCCGGTCCGTATTGTTCTATTTAATATTAGTTTTACTATATTCTAATAAACCT